GTGCAGGGGGTTCAAAGAAACTGCACCCCAAATTCATGAAAGCAAAACTTGTGTAACATGTACGTGTTAGGACACAGTGGGGTCAAAACTGCAGGGGTGATAGCCTCTGCTGAGGCCACAAAGCCTGCCAAATTTCAAGGTGATAGGTGCAGGGGGTTCAAAGAAACTGCACCCCAAATTCATGAAAGCAAAACTTGTGTAACATGTACGTGTTAGGACACAGTGGGGTCAAAACTGCAGGGGTGATAGCCTCTGCTGAGGCCACAAAGCCTGCCAAATTTCAAGGTGATAGGTGTGGGGGCTTGGAGGGAAATGCATCTCAAGCTGCTGACATCATGGTCATCATGAGTGACCTGAAATTTGTGGACATCTGCTGGGAAGAGCAGTCAGCCAGGTCTGACTACTCATGTAGGTTCCTAGCCGAGATACAGGACCTCCATCTAACCCAAGAGATGCACAGCCCCACCAGGGGAGACGCCTTGTTGGATCTGGTCCTGGGCCACGGGTGACGATCTGGTGAGGGGTCTGCGGGTGCTCGACCACCTGGGCGACAGTGATCATTACCTGCTGGAATTCACCATCTAGCGCAAGGTGGCAAAGGCCTGCAGCAAGGCAACAGCCCTGGACTTCAAGAGGGCAGATTTCAATGAGGTAAGGAGAATAGTCAGGGAGGCACTGAGTTCCCAGAAGGGAGGGAAGTCGGGTGTCCAGGAAGAGTGGTTGTTCCTTAAGGAGATGATACTCCAAGCCCAAAGGGATGTAATCTCAACACAGATCAAAGGGGGCAAGAGGGCGCAAAAGCCCCCATGGCTCACCAAAAGCATACGGAAACATCTCCTAGCTAAAAAGGTGGCATACACCCAATGGAAGGGTGGGCCCATCACCAGGGAGAACTATACCTCGGTTGCTTGGGGCTGTAGGGGGGCGGTCAGGAAGGCCAAAGCGGAGATGGAACTGGGACTAGGTACCCAGATCAAGGACAACAAGAAGTCCTTTTTTAAATACATAGGAGGTAAAAAGAAGGTACCGGGTAACATGGGACCTCTGCAGGACACGCCAGGAAATCTGGTCATCGCACCAGACAGCAAAGCTAACCTATTTAACAATTTCTTCGCCTCCATTTTTCTGAGCAGGGACTGGGTGCGGAGCCCAGAACTGGATGCAGGACTCCAGCTGCGGTCTCACCAGTGCTGAGAAGAGCCGAATAGAGCAGGAGAATCACTTCTTTGCAATGGTTTTGCTGGAGATGCATCAATTGATGCATGCCAGTGTATTGTTGGCCCTGCTGGCTACAGCATTGCACTGCCGGCTCCTGTTCATACTGTGGTCAATTGTTACCCTCAGGTCTTGGTGACAAGTGATGGGGGATCTTCAGTCCTGCTGCCTGATGAGAGGGAGTAGTTGCACAAGCACCCATGTCATGAGTTTTGCCTGTCAGCAGCTAGGGATGCAGGGCCCAGAACCCCCCTGCACCTATCTCCTTGACAGCTGGCAGTGCTTAGTGGCCGCCAGGCCTGCAGTAGTTTCACCTCCCCTGTGCCCCAAGACAGACACAGTTGCACAAGCACCCATGTCACGAGTTTTATCTGTCAGCAGCCAGACGTGCAGGGCCCCAGAACCCAGAACCCCTGCACCAATCTCCTCAACAGCTGGCAGGCTTCATGGCCGCAGCAGGGGCTACTATCCCTGCAGTTTTCACCCTGCTGTGCCTTAACACACAGTGTCACCCATGTCACAAGTTTTTTGTCTGCAGCTTGAGATGCAGTTTCCCCCAAACCCCAGTACTTATCTCCTTGAAACCTGGCAGACTTCATGGCCTCAGCAGGGTCTAGCATGCCTGAAGCTTTGACCCTGCTGTGGCTTAACACATACATGTGACATGAGTTTTGCCTTCAGACTTTTGGGGTGCAGTTTTTCCAACCCCCCCACACCTATCTCCTTGAAACATGGCAGGCTTTGTGGCCTCAGTAGGGACTAGAATTCCTGTAGTTTTGACCATGATGTGGCTTAACACATATACATGACACAAGTTTGGCTCTCAATACCTTGGGGTGCAGTTTCTCCAAACCTCCTGCATTTATCTTCTTGAAACTTAGCATGCTTTATGCCCTTAGAATGGGGCTATCAGTCCTGCAAGTTTCATCCAAATCTGGCCAGAAATGACAAAGTTATAGGCTGTTTTGACCTTCCCCATTATAGCCTATGGGCGAAACATTGAAACAGTGTCAAAATGGCGAAACGTTTTGACTTGCCTCAATTTGTTTCGAAGCTGTTTTGACCATATCCGTTTCATTTCGATTTTGCTGTTTCGACCTTGAAACAGGTCGAAACAGTGTCGAAACAAAACTGGTGGCAAAATTTCACACAGCCCTACTTGCAACAGTAGAGCTCCTGTTGAATTCCACTGAAGTTGCTCACCCAAACAGTGGAGCCTAGTTCTAAGGCGAAATCATCTTATGCAGGCACTTATCATAGCTGGCTCAGGAAAGGTAATTTAAATCTCCCTGTAACAGTATGAGTGACCCCGAACTAAGGAATGGGTTTTTGGTTCTCTTTAAAGGTATCAAAATATTTTGGTTACGTTACCTTGGTTAAGTGCACTTTCCTTGAGAGTGACAGCTATTAGAACAGCCCTCTTGTTAGGTTGTTTGTCCAGGGGTCAGTATAAATTTATTTGGAGATAATGCAGCTATAGAGGTCCATATCAAACAAAAATTTGGCAGGGCACAGAAATAAGCTTTATCCAATAAATTCTGTGCTTCTGAAAGACCTGTTGCAGTTCAATCATACACTTCTCAGCTAGAATCTATCAGTGAAATATAATGGCCTGTGTATAGATGAGGCTAGAAGACCACATTGGTTCCTTCTGTTCTTAAACATTGAAGACATATACCTTAAGCCCATTTAGTAGGAAAGTAACTAAGAGCCTTGCCGGATTGCTTCATTCCAGCTACTGCAAAAAGGTGGCAAAGACTTAGGATATACACTACATATGCCACCCCCCCACCAAAACATGGTAAAACATGACAAGAAAACAACTCCTATAGTTCAAGTCATGGGCAGTACCAGGAAGACTTCAGCTCAGTTGGTCACATCAGAATACTGCAAAATGATAAAAAGTAGGTTATCTAGTAGGACTGTCCAGCTGGCAAGTTCCACTGTCTCAAAGTCTATCATGATTTCCTCTCTCTACTTTTCCAATGGGCTATACACATTTATTAAACAGCCTACCTATGGTACAATTGCTATATGTCCTTATGCATTGGTGACCATGTCTTCCATAAAGGAGAGCTCGCCATTAGCTCTGAATTAAGTTACTTCATTTGGTAAATTCACTAACTGGATGCTTAACTGACTTCCACTCAAGTGAAGCATTCCTAGTATTCATGAGACCTCAGGAATATGGGGGTAGAAGAAGGAAGCTGAGTGAAAGTGAGAGGGAAGAAGAGAGGCAGAGGGTGATGCACCAGAAAAGTGGGGGCCAACCTTTTTGGCCAGTGTGCCACAAATTAGCCCCAGAACCTCCCTGAGTGTCCTTCTCCTCCCTGATCTGTTACTCTGCTCTCTACTCTCTGCACTATGTGCTCCCTACCCAAATTTGCTTCTCTCCTTTCTGCTCTTAGCCCTGTGCTTCCTGCCTAGTCTGCTGCTCTTTCTGCTTCCTGCCCTATCTTCCACTGTGCTCCCTCCCCCCCTCCTCAATCTACTACATGCCACACACACAGGTTGTTTGTGCTGCCCCTGACATGCATATCACAGGCTGGCCACACCTGCAAAACTATGGTTATCAACAAGGAGACAATGGGAGAATGTGGAAAAAGAAAAGGAGAATACAGCAGGTATATGACTGTGTAGAAAGGGTGAAAATGTCAGGGAAAAAATGAGTATAAGGAAGCACATATGGATCAGAACAGAGATGGAAATGTCAGGGAGAATAGGGACAAAAACAGGTGGGTGAAACAGAATGACAGTTTCTACATCCCAGGGTCTGAAGAGGGACAAATGACCAGCCAAAAAAGGAAGCCAGTGTTTCTTTGTAAGTGAACATGTAAGATTCCATTTTCAAACAGAAATAGACATCTTCACCGAAAGGTTGAATACCAGCAATCAGACAACGTGATTCTTTTTCTTCTTTTCTTTCTCAAGAATATTATGACAAACCTCTAGGGAGAGCAACACCCCTTTCTGAAATCCCAGTTCCTTCAATACTTAAAAAGGTGAATCACTTAGTTTGATACTTTCTTATTATAAATTGCTGTTAGCTGCCACACCGCTTACCTTTCCTTCTGACAGCAGCAAAACAAACAAACAAAAAACTGCTGTTAAAGTGAATCTCTCCACTAAAATCTCTGGTGAAAACCAGAGCAGGAACTTAGCACCTGCTAGGTTTTGCACCGGTCTCAGACTGTGACTAAAGTTGTGTTCTAGAGCTTTATAAGGGGACCCAGGCCAGTTTCATTGCTGTACCAACTTCTGAACTTTTCATTAAAGGATGGTTTTCACTGAATGTAAATGCTTGGTCTAAAACTACTGAAGTCAACAGAAGTTGAACCACTGTCTTCAGTGTGGGGCAGAATGAAACTTCTATTTAATGTGCATCGCACATTAATAGCAGCTGGCTATTATTTCCACATATGTGAATGTCCCCAACATGCTATCCTTCAGAAAAATAGAAATCAGACCTTAACCCCAGAACAGCAGTGTGTCCAGAATGCTATTATATTTCTCTGTAACCACTAATGGCTTTCATCTGCTCTGCCTCCTTTTTAACCCCAATTTTTATTTCACAGCTGCATTTGTATTCTCCAGGGTCATTAATATAAGCAATTATAGCCTGCCATCTTATAGCATTGTAATTTGGCAGTAGAGCAAGGAACCAGGATTAAAAGTGAAGCCAGTAAAATATTCTTTTGCCATCAAACAGGAGATAGGATTCCATTTTCCTTTCATGATCCGAACCACAAGAGGAGGTGTTTAGTGAAAAAAAAAAAAAGCCATACCTGAAGATGATGTTTCCTGCACGATCGGCCTTCCACGCCTTTACAAGTGCAAAATCACCTGTAATTGACTTCTCCATAATATAATGACGGCCATCAAATTCTCTCCCCTGTAAGGAAAAATAATGCACTATTAAGATGCAGGTTTAATCAGACAGACTAATTAGATACTGCTTACTGCATCTGACTTATTTTTCAGGCAATTCAATTTAAATTTTCTTTTGTGTCTATGTGAGTTTTTGGCTGAAAGACTGGAATTCAAGTGGATGATGGCAGAGAAGCATAAGGAGGCAACAATTTGATTTTATAATTGTTTATATCTTCCTTGGTTAGATAAATAAAACCAGAATCAAGGACTTGCTCCTGCTGCACCACCTACTGGAACTCAGAATGTATTGTTCATCGAGCACTCCACTGCAAACACAAAGTGAGACTGCTCTAGTGCTGAAATAATATGTACCAACTGCATGTGCACACTGGGTAAAATTCACCCACTGAGTGAGGACCCATGCAAGGTCTATGTACCCTTTTAGGAGCAGCATTTCTACACTGATGCAGAGGGTTGTACCAGATGACCCCTGTAGTCCCTTCCAACCTTATGATTTAAGTCTCTTTGTGAAGGTTATATTGACAACCCACCATCACGCAGACACTTTTAGACAGGGCTATATTCAGCTGCTGTCCTCAGAACCTGTATTTCCTGCTTCTCATAGAGCTCTGTTTGTAACTGAGAAACAAACAAGAATCAATTACTTTAAAAGATCCATCAAATGTGATACACTTGTAGGCAGAAACTTTCCGCAGCTGTATTTATCAAGGCACCAGCTCTTCAGAATTATGGCCAAGCTGCAAACAGTGGAATCAACTGAAGCAAAGCAGAACACTGTGGGTGCATTAAAGGTAGAAACCAAAGTCCAGCTCTGGTAAATTTATCTCTAGATTTAATAAAACACATCTGTTTTCTCTTCAGAATTGTTTAATGATGCTCAAGGCAAAACTCTTGGAAAGAGATTAGGAAGCTAGAAGAAATGAGTCTCACTGGAAATCATATTAAATCACCAGAGGCTAGGCATTTATGCATCAGAGTATTTCTGTTTGAATTTGTCGATTACTGAGGCCCAGAAACAAATGGTGCTGGACCTTGCTAAATCCTTAGAAGTTTGGATTATTTCAAAAGTTACCCAGGCTGAACTGTGTTCCTGTGTACATGAAGAAAATGCAAAGATAAAAGTTTTGAACTGTTTCTCAAGCATTGCCATTATATTCAAAACAGTTGAGACAACTCAGCAAGCCTGCATTTGTACTGTCTTTAATAATATGTAGGCATACCCCTGCATAATGAAGAAAGACTTTGGGCTCCTAACAGTTTAAACAAAGGGTATGGAGGCTAAAGTGATCCTGGATTGGAATCCCACTACTTGTAATGAGTGATCCACAGAAGATGGCATAATTCTGGACAAAGGAGAGGAACTTGAGCTGCCTAACACTGAAAATCCCACACTCAAAACTAAGTCAAAGAGTGGTTCCCTACCTTGTGAAAGAGAGATGCTAATCAATTGTCTACATTAAGCAATGATACTCATACTAGGGCTCCCAACCCACAGGCTGCTATTCAAATTACCACCTGCAATTCTTTTTTTAGGCATGCCTTTCATGATGGGTGCAAAGCTCTGCGTTTGGAACAGAATAACTGCATGCACAAATACAAACTGGGGAATGATGGGCTAGGCAGAAAAGGAGCCAGGGGTTACAGAGAACCATAAAACTAAATGAGACAACAGTGAGTTCTTATTACAAAAAACTAAAAAAATGCTAACAGCATACTGGTTTGTATTAACCAGTTAAGGGAAAGGGAAATGATTCTTCCACTGGCGAGGCCACACTTGAAGCACTATGTTCACTTTTGGGAACCACAATTCAAGAAAGATGCGGGCAGATAGAAAAGAATCCAGTGGACAGGAACAAAAATGATTAGGCCTCAGACAAATGATTTATGAGGAAAGATTGAAAGAGCTAGGAATATTAATCTGGAGAAGAAAGGACTAAAGGAGAATTTGATTACAGCCTTCAAGTACCGGAAAGGTGATTATAAAGGATAGATATATTGTTTATGATAAAGACGTGCATGGTTTTATATACATATACACATTACAATTTTGTTTTGCATTTAAAAAAAAAAAAAATCAATAAAAAAAGAGGATAGAAATCACCTTTTTTGTGGCTGTGGGAACAGGACAAAGAGAACTAACCTCAAACTGCAGCAGAGGAAATTTAGGCTGGAGATTAGGAAGAACTTTCTGACTATGAAAGTGATCAGTCACTGGAACAGGTTACCTACAGAAATTGTGGAATTGCCATCCCTAGAAACTGTTTGTCTAAACCAGGGGTAGGCAATGTTTCATAGATTTCATAAACACTAGGGCTGGAAGGGACCTCAGAAGATCATTGAGTCCAGCCCCCGCCCCGAAAGGCAAGAAGTCAGCTGGGGTCATCGGACCCCAGCAAGATAAGCATCCAATTTTCTCTAGAAGGTGTTAAATGTAGGTGCTTGAACCACCTCCGGTGGCAGGCTATTCCAGACCTTGAGGGCTCAGACAGTAAAGAAATTCTTCCTTATGTCCAGCCAGAAACGGTCTTGCAGGAGTTTATAACCGTTCGACCTCGTTATCCCTTGGGGCGCTCTGTTGAACAAACGTTCTCCCAGATCCTGGTTAACACCCCTGATAAACTTGTAGGTGGCCATCAGATCACCCCTGAGCCTGCACTTTTCCAGGCTAAAGAGCCCCATAGCTCTCAGCCTGTCATCGTAAGGTCTGTTTTCCTGACCCCTGATCAAGCGCGTGGCTCTTCTCTGGACTCTCTCAAGCTTCTCCACATCCTTTTTGAATTGTAGGGCCCAAAACTGGACGCAGTACTCCAGCTGCGGCCTCACCAAGGCCAAGTACAAGGGGAGAATGATGTCCTGGGATTTGCTTGAGAAGCATCTATGGATGCAAGCCAGTGTTTTGCTCACTCTACTAGCCACAACATCACATTGAAGGCTCATGTTCATCTTGTGGTCATCGATGATCCCCCAAGTCCCCTTCATCTCCAGTGCTAACCAGCATAGCACTGCCGAACCTATAAGGATGCTGCGGGTTTTCCCTCCCAAGGTGGAGAACCTTGCATTTTTCGGTGTTAAACACCATCAGGTTCTCATCCGCCCATTTCCTGAGCCTATCAAGGTCAGTCTGGATCACCCTCCTGTTCTCAGATGTGGATGCTTTACCCCAGAGTTTGGTATCGTTGGCAAACTTGGCCCGTCCGCTTCTGATACCAGTGTCTACATCGTTAATGAAGATGTTGAACAAAATAGGTCCAAAGACAGAGCCTTGAGGGACCCCACTAGTCACAGGGCACCACAACGATTGACTTCCATCCACCACCACCCTCTGGGTCCAACCACGGAGCTAATTTCCCAGCCAGCGGATCGTGGTGGACCCACAATTGGCCAGTTTTCCCAAGGGGTGATCATGGGATACCAGATCAAAGGCTTTTTTAAAGTCAAGATATACGACATCAATCTCTTCCCCCTTATCCAGGTGATAGGTCACCTAGTCATAAAAGGAAATGAGATTGGTCAAGCAAGACCTACCCACAACAAACCCATGCTGGCTATCCCTCAGGATGTTGCCATTGGTCAGTCTGTTAAGAATGGCCTCTTTGATAATCTTTTCTAAGACTTTCCCGGGGATAGAGGTCAGGCTGATGGGCCTGTAGTTTGCCGGATCCACTTTCCTCCCTTTTCTGAAGATAGGCACCGCACTGGCCTTTTTCCAATCTTCAGGCACTTCAGAGCGCCAGGAGTTCTTGAAGATCCGTGCCAGGGACTGAGCTATGATGCTTGCCAGTTCCTTGAGTACCGTGGGGTGTAAACTGTCAGGGCTGGCTGACTTGAAGGTGTCCAGGCTGTCAAGGTGTTCCTTCATGAGATCAGCATTGATGGAAGGTAAGGAATCTCTCTCACCTGGGCCTTCCCATCCCATAACGGGCAGGGGCATCCCATGGGACTGGTGAAAGACCGACACAAAGTACCCATTTAGCAGGTTGGGTTTTTCCTGGGCATCGGTTGTCAGCTGTCCCATCTGGTTTAGCAGGGGTCCAATGTTTCCCTTGCTTTTCCTCTGGCTCCCCACTATCTAAAAAAGGACTTTTTATTATCCTTGATACTAGTGGCCAGTCAGAGTTCAGTCGCAGCCTTGGCTTTCCTGGTTTGCTCCCTGCAGGTCCAGACCAGTGCTGCATATTCCTCCTTGGAGGTGGATCCCGTCCTCCATCCTTTGTGGGTCTTTCTTTTAAGACGCAGGAGGTCCACTAGTTCCTTGCTGAGCCAAGGGGGCTGCTGTGCCCTTTTCCTGCCTTTCCTCCGAGATGGAATAGCCTTAACTTGTGCATCTAGGATTGCTCCCTTAAGGAACAACCACTCTTCCTGTACTCCCCTCTCCTTGAGGTCGAGGTCCCTAGGGCCTCACCGACAAGCCTCCTGAGCTTGTCAAAGTCAGCTTTTCTGAAGTCAAGGACTTCTGCATTGCTGACTGACTTGCCAGCTTTATGGTGGATGGTGAAGGTGTCAAAGTGGTCGCTCATGGTCGCTGTCATCCAGTTTCCTTTCAAACGTTAGGTGGCTGATTAGGTCATCCCAGGTTGCCAGTACCAGGCTGAGCAGCGCTTTACCTCTCATTGGCCCGTAGACTTCTTGTGTCAGATGGAGCTCATCCACGCATGAAAGGAAGCTTTGCAACCGCTCGGATTTGGCCGAGCGCTCCTCCCATGAGATGTCTGGGTAGTTGAAGTCTCCCATGACAACCGTGGACCGGGAGCATATGGCCTCAGCCAATTCCCTGGTGAACTCCTGGTCAAGCTTCTGACTTTGGTGTCTACTACAGACCTCCCACCATTGTGTTTCCTGTGCCGCGTTCCCCACAGATTTTAACCTAGAGGGTCTCCAGTCGTCCACCCTAATCGCCAGTACTGGCTTGCAGGGATGCGTAGCTCTCCTTGACATAGAGAGCTACACCCGCTCCTTTAGTCCACTTGATCCCTCCTGTACAGGGTATAGCCATCTATACCTGTGGCCCAGTCATGGGTGGAATCCCACCAGGTCTCCGTTTGGGGGTTTGGCCGGAGTGCTGACAAACCCCACAATGCCTACCTTGGAAGGTGTCAGAGTGCCAGCATACCAGAAAAACAAAATGAGGGCAGGGGGTACATGTCAGGATGCCCTGCTTGTTCCCCTTGCCCCCCACAGAAAGCCCCTGCCCCCCAGCCCGGGCTCTGTGGCTGTCAGCAGCTACCCAGAACCTGGGCCAGCTGCAAACATCTGCTGCCTCTCTAACCTTGCCCTGGCCCCAGCCGCAGCTGCCTCCCAGCCCCAGACCTTGCCCCAGGCTCCAGGGAGGCAGCACATACCAACAATGCTCCCCGCTGTGCTGCCCTCGCCACTTCTGCAAAGCAGTGCTGGAACCCCGCGTGTCAGGGCACAGCAGAGGGGCGCAGAAAGCTGCCTGCTCCAAGCTCCCCGCTGCCCTGCCACACTTCCCCTGTGTGCACGGGAGCAGCATGGGCAGCAGCACAGGGTTGTGCCCCTTGTTGCTGCCTCTACCTGCAGGGGAAGTGTGGCCAGAGAGGTGGGGACCTGGAAGCAGGCAGATTTCTGCACCCCCCACTGTGCCCTGCTGCACCGGATTCCAACGCTGCTTTGCCCGGGCTCCGTGGCTATCGGCAGCTACCCAGAGCTGGGGCTGGCTGCAGCCAGGAGGCTACAAACAGCTGCTGCCCTCCCGCCCCGGCCCCGGGCTCAGAGAAGGCAGCAGGTGCCGGCACTGCACCCGCTGGGGCCAGGAGGCAGCAGCTGTCTGTAGCCTCCTGGCT